TACCACTCCTATTATCCCACCAATAAGATGAAGTGTCAAGAGTGATGGTTTGAATAGTCCAAAACATCTGACCAGTGTTCAGCTTGGGAAAGCTGTCCTAAGGTATCCAAAGTATATCTAAATTGCATTTTAGACAGTCTACAATAGAAACAACTACTGGTTTGGTAACAATAAAGTAGGACTATTTTCATGCCTGCTGACTGTTCTTTGCAACCATTTAAAATTAAAAGGGCTCAACATGCAAATGGGGAACTAAGGGGAATGCAGAATGTTTATTTAAAGAAATTCCAAATGACAGAAAAGAACATACGTTGATAGAATTATTGGAAGGTGAATAAAACAGATGACAATTGGAATTGTGATATTTCAATATAGAGGTTAGGAGGTGGGGCACTGACAGGTGGGGCAGGATGGAAAAAGGGAGAACCTTTTTTTTTATTAGATGTTAACTGATTGTGTGATGGGAAAATGAGAATAGGGTTAGTGACAATGCCTTTGTTGTTTCTTGGGCATCATCTCATGTTCTAGATGTCCCTTTAACTGTTGTTTTAATCATCTGGTTTGGTTTTTTTCACCCTGGCTTTTGGCTGTTTGTATTTAATTTATTGATGGAAGCCCACCTGAGAATAACCATACTTTCCCTTTCACATTCATTGCCTTTTTACATTTTTATTCCTGGCATATGTATCTTTTACTTAAAAACAGCCAATCCTGTTTTTGTTTCCCCAGATTTTTTTAGAAATTAGTGGTACACAGAAAAATTCTCCTGCATTAGCTTTTACCAGTTTGATGGAGGAGAACTTGCATTTATGTTTTTTTCCAAAGGAGAAGAGGACTTCCATTACATTCTCATGGAGAGTGTGGTGTTCTATTTATTTAGTCATGAGATGACCAAAGGTTAGGCAGAATTGTTCTGCTTTTTCTTATATAGTTTTCTCTCCAGCAATCTGCCCCGTCTTTCCATGCTTCCATGATATTTCAAAGGAAAATGTCCTGAGAGGACTTTTCCCATGGTGCCTTTTCAGATTGGGAAGTGTGGGTAGCCTTAGGGCAAAGGAAAAAATACGTAACAAAAAAAGAAAAATGTCAGCAGTAGGGTTTTCTGTCACCTCTATGCTATCATGCACGACCAGGAAAAATCAAGGAAGAAATTCTTGAGCACCCTGGGAATTCAATAGGAAAAGATAAGTCACTTTCATGCAGGAAGAAAAGATTTGAGAAATTGCAAAGCCTAGCATTTTTAGAAATACTACCTACTCCAGAAGCAAATTGTTTTGACTTTCAATCTGTTACAGGCCATGGCATAATGAAATGTGGACTAGATGCCGTAGAGCAGGTGTATCTCTCTCCTTCCCCAGAAGTCTGTGCTTGGTCCCAGCCGGGAGCTTTTAATAAGGAAGGGAGTGGGCACCCTCCTCCCTGCAGGTATCTTGTAGCAGCCATTAATTGACCCTTGTTCCTGTGCAAAGAGCTTTTGGTGGCCATTAGTGCAAGCCAGATGGTGGTTTCATACTAATGAGATTTTGGGTTATTGAGAAGGAGAAGCAGCCTCTGCTTCCACAGGTACTTCTTCTTTCGAAGCTCTGTCAGCCAGAACAGCAGGAGAGAGATTAATTTCTTGTTTCTGAGATGCAAGCATGCCCATGGTATATAATATCTTGCTGGGATGTTCTTTTATCTTTTTAAATTGACAAGTAGAAAGCATAGTTATATTACATTAGATCATTCTTCTGCTAAAGCTTCCTTGAATATTGAGCGGTCTTTCAGAAGTTGCCATATGCAGTATTTTTTTTTTAATGAACAGTTGCAGCATTTCATGGAGAAGCTGGAAAATTCAAGTCAGGTTATGCTAAGCAGGCTCCAAGATTTGGTTAGGCTAAGATTTTCTAAAAACTGCTTTTAAATTGCTGTGATACTTTAACATATAAATAAAACAGTAGAATAGAGACTTGTAAATATTCAAGTTCAAACTTGAGTTCCTTTAGGAGAAATAGCAGTATAAAATGATTAATAATAATTCATAGCCCACAAATTAAAGTAGACATTGCTTACTTCTGTTTTTTTCCCCTTGCAGGGAAGATTCTGTATTTGTAATAAGTTTATAACCCTTCCCCCTATCAAACCCAGGGCACTTTCCTTCCCGTGGAACAGAGCAAAGGGATTCGAATTGGACATAGCAATGGAGAATGTGCATATCCCAAAATATAACAGCAGACCAAAAATATTTCTGTAGGCTTTATTTAATCTGCTAAGGTTCAGTCTTGATCTAGACAAAAACAATTAGGTGACTATTCTTTTACTTTGCTTTGTCTGTTTTCATAGTAGGTTACTGAGATGAAGAAAAGGAACACAATCCTTTTCCTTCGTTAACATTTTTTTTAAAAAAGAAGCTATAAATAAATATATAAAGCTTTAAAAGTTATTTGATTCAGTTTAAACATTGCTTTTAGTTTCTGCAGCAAACATGCAGATCTTACAGATTCGGTCCATTGGAAAACAATGGTTTGAAGGAAGATGCTCTCAGTGTTGATAAGAAGAGCCTGTTTGGAGATCTCAAATGGGGAGAAAAATGGAGTTTATTTAGAGAGATTAGAAGTACAAGTTTATTGGATAAAGTCACCCAAAGAAAGGAGGGGAAATAGATCCCTGTGAATAGTTTGTCCATGGGCTTCATAATGCAACTTAGACATCTTTGTGGAATTAAAAACAGTTTGCATAAAGCAAGTAACGCTAACATGATGTCTCACCCAATTGCAGTAGTACTGATAGTAAGCACTAGCAACTGCCCAAAATTTGCCGGGGCATTGACATATATATTGAAACCTAACAGTGAGAAAGTTTGTAAAAAGCACTTAAAAATCAATTCAAACAAGCAACACAAATAAATTAAAACATATTCCAACATGTACAAAACAAATCATCATTTGAAAATAAGTTCAACAATTATTTTTCATAGCTCAGCACTCAGTTCGGCATGTAGGAGGGAGCACCTGAGAAAAAGGCAGAGGAGAAAAAGCAGGAATTGCAGGACAGAATGGGATAGGGAATCACATGGTGGAGCATTTCCCCACAATGCCCTTCAGGCTTTATTGGAAATCAAAATATTAACACAAAACCTTGATGGGAGGAAAACCTGATCTCTCAATTGATCAGTGTATGAATGCATGCAGTCCACTCTTAGAGACAATCATTTGGTTGGCCAACTCCTCTTTGCTTTAATTTCAAAATATATAATCCTTAAACCTGTTCCTGTTCTTAGTGGAATGTGAGCAACGATAACAAACAGAACAATGGTTCTAATGGTACCCTGTGCCAAGCCATGGGAAATGTTGCAGTGTCTGTTTCCTTCCAGGGAGCTAGAGAGAACTGCGGGGCTCAAATGGATTTGAAGACAGTAGAGGACTATAATCTTTAAATTAGCAGCCTAAGCCTGTCAAAACTATCCTTAATTTGTGAACCATCTATAAATGTAAAAGTGAAGATTATTCACTTCCAACTTAGAAGCTTTAGAACTAAATTAGAAGTTCAAACTTACCCTTTCCACACAAAGCTAGACTAGGACATGAAACATAGTACATAGTCCAGTATACCGCTAGTCATATCTATTGTTGTCCAGGTGAAGGGTCAGGGTGGACTGGTGAAATCTGTGTGAATGTGAATTGCGTGTGTCAAACATGGACTGGAAGTGAGCCTAATCTCATAAAGAAGACCTTTGAATGGCCTCCAGATGCCCCCTGCCCCCTTTGTCTCTCATCTTAAAAACTAAATGAGCTTGAATTTCCAATTGAAAAAAAGCAATGTAAAGTCAGCCTTGTGTAATAGCGTGGATGTTTTGCAATCCTTTGCATTTAGCACAATAGTTCTGGGACCAAACAACTTTCCTTGTGCTTGCAGAATTGGCAGCCTAATAAGGTTTCATCAGGAGAAATTGCTACCGCATTAAAGAAAACTTGAATGATACTGCATTCAGAAAATGCATTTGGCTCAAAGCAGAGAATGTGGCTGGTGTGTGTGTGTGTGCGCGCGTTTGTGTGTACTGGGTTGGTCTGTTGCTATGCTCTGTAGCTTCTATAGCCCTTGCTCACAGATGTGTGCTGGTAAGAATGCTAGAAGAAGGGAAATGTAGGAATTTAGTTAGGCTGGCAGTCTTCTTCAGGTCTTGAGCAAAAGTTTTTAAAATCATGATGTGGTCTTTTTTCTTTTTTAAAAGTAGAAACACTAGGGGTCAAACTTGGCACTGTCATATACTCTACCACTGAACCATGGTTTCTTCCTTGCCTAGCCATATTGATCCTAGTTAATATTGGTCTTTCCCCCCATATACTCTGCTAGTTAGGGCACATGTGTGCAACATATATTTGCTCTGCCATGCCTTTCCTTTACATCTCTATTCAAAGAATATCTGTTTAAAAAAATGTATGCATAATCTTTTAAAGCCATTACGTATGCACTCTGTTCTTGCCATCCCTCAACCCTATTCTCTAGATGTAATGAAACTGCAACTACCAGAATTTCCAGCCAGGATGGGCAAAGGAGTTTTAGCCAAAACACATTCAAGGTTTACCGGGTGGGGTAGGGGACGGTTAAGCCATTCTTCCCCACTGTTGCTACAATTTCCAAAGAAATGAAAGTCCAATCTCTGTAGAATGAAAAAAATGGTTACAAGGTCAGATGTATCCAAACCTTTAAAATGTAGCATTTCAGTGCATTTAATGAGATGGTGAGAGAAATGTTGCACAAATACAATTCCAGTTTTCCATGCCACTAGTGGAGGAGAACTACTAGGGTTTCCTTTTGTTAAAGTTTCCTAATAGCTTTTCTGCAAAATCACATTGGGCCACATCAATCCATATGCATACTGAAGCAGAATGAAAAACTTTCCTACTTGATCAGGCCAGTGGCCCATCTGGTCAAGCACTCTGTTTCTCCTAATAGTCAGCTAGCGTGGAAGGAAGGAAGGAAGGAAGGAAGGAAGGAAGGAAGGAAGGAAGGAAGGAAGGAAACTAGCTCAGTGTTTCTCAACCTCAGCAAGTTTAAGATGTATGGACTTCAATTCCCAGAATTCCCTAGCCAGCACTTGAGCTAGATAATTCTAGAAAACATATAAGGCTCGAAGTCAATAGTTTTCAACCCCTATTTTTCCCCAGCAACTGGTATTCATGCAGGTATATGCTTCTGAAATTGGTTCTTTTCATTGTCACAACTAGGAGCTAATTTCCTATAAGAACACAAGACTAAGTGTAGACACCACAACAGAGTCCCAAAACAACAGAGGGAACCTTCATCATTCAAACTGGTTAATTCATACTCTTCTCTCAACTCTCTGTTAAGAAATATCATTAGGGAAAACTGCAGCCAGTATACTCCAAGCTTGGAAGCCTTGTTAATTATATTTGTTTCTGGAAAGGATCTTCTGGTCATAACAAACTGACGAGCAATCTAATATATTGTGCTATGTGAAAAATACTTAGCTGGCTTATGGCCTCAGAACTATTCCACAAATCCGCATTCAGCCCTCATTTCAGGTGGCTTCCATGGAAAACCGTTTCTTAACTAACTTCAGTGCAGATCGCAGTTAACATGTTGGCTTGCACTGCAAAATTCTCCTTTGCTGAAAGTCCAAAGCCACTGTCCTAGAACACTAGGGAGTGCTGGGGGAAGGATGCGTGCTCTGGAAATGTTTATGACATTTCCACTGTAGCGGTTCATCTGACTAAGGAAGCATGCGGATTTGAAATGGCTACAGGAAACGTTTTCAAGACTCCCCCAGCGCCAGCGCTGCTGACATGATAAACTGCTCCTGTCAGAGTTAAGGAAAGTTCAGGAGACGACATGGAGGTTGAAAAGACAGAACAGGAGCTACCAAAAATGTGTCCTGCTATAGACAAAGGATTTTAAACTGGGCATGGGTTTTTCTTTTACAGTACCATCCGCCTGCTCTTGAAACATCTGGTGACGCACCAAGTAATACACAATATAAATTGCAATGGAATGTATTCCTGTGATATTAATGAATTCTTCTGAACAGTCACATTTGGCGTCAGAGCAACGTTCCATCTACCTGTTTCTTTTCAGTCCTTATAATAATTTAAAAATCCTGGGCTGGCTTCCTTTACTTCTTACACTCAGTCATAGCTTCTCTGCCTTTTGTAGTTTCAGTTCTTTCTGTCCAACTTAGTTGCTTCAGTCCAAATGATTTTGAACCATTTATCTGTACATGTCTTTGTAACAGTTTAACAACTTAGCAACATTCAGGGAAGAGATCTGAATTGTTGTGGCATTGTGGTGGGCCCTGAAATTGACATTTCCCCCTCCTGCAAGAAACTATTTTATTGTGATCTAAGCACAAAATGACCACACACCCACTCACTTTGGTGCTGAAGCTGACAATAATATTCAGTACTTTTTATTTCTTTAGCTTGTACTTATAAAAGCATCAAACAAAGAAAATGTTGGAGAAAGCCTACTATCACAGGCAGATCCATTAAGGTTTCTTATCCAGTTGTTGTGGAAATTAAATTTAGACACAACAAAACTAGTTTGCTTTTATCTTTGCCCACACACTATGAGGAAGCTTATTTTGGCCCTGGAAACTTGTATTTATTGTACAAAGCATAATAGAACAGGCTCTCTACTGTTCACACCATGCATATTGATTAGTCGTTGCAGCCCATTTTTATATTATAGAACCAGAGTGATGAACACAGTAGAAACACTTTGGGTAAAGCTCCAGATTCTGCATGTCAAAAGCTGCAGATGTTTTGCAGGCAAAGATAATTTTAAAAGGTTTTTTTCTCTTTTGTTACAAAAATTCAACATTTTCCACAGAATTAGCAGACTAATTTAGGGATATAAATATAGAGCCCTCCCACCTCACCCCAATTATATTAATACTATTGTGAGAGTTTTCCATCTTTAAATTTCAAACACTTATAGTTTTGATGAGCTGTGAATAAGGGCTTTTTCAAATACAGCAGAAAAACTTTGCACTGACTGAGCTTCTAGATATTTGTATTTAAGAACTGCCGTATCTTTCCGGATGTAGATCATTAGTAGTCCCTTGTTATTTGTGCTAAACACTGAACTAGATGGGTATGGCTATGTTTCAATCAGGTCTTCCTTCTGTTATCATTCTAAATAATTCTTACTGTCCTGTGAAGGATACTTAGAAATAGCAAGGCAGGCATATTTAATGGGTCACTTAATTAGGTTGTCTCCTCAGCATGAATGCCAAATCTTAGGACATGAGGTACAGATCGAGGACTGTGGGGCAGAGTATTCAGATACAGAACCAGAAGGAACTTCCATACTTTCTTGTGCTGAAAACCACATGGAACAAATCTACTAGCGTCTATGATGCAGAGTGAGCCCACTCTTTGAGAATCAGCTGATTGCCCACATAGTCAGATATTGTCTACGATTTAGCTATTCATAGTCTAGAGAACAGGAACAATAAGTGAGGATGACACACACAATTTGGTTTTGCTTCATTCCTCTCACTTAGACCAACTCATAAATATGTTTAGAAAATAAAGAAAACATCGGTTTTTGGAGAGACAGTAAATGATAACTGGATGCTCTCCAAAGGGAAAAAATGGTATGGGATTGAGATTTTTTTTTTTTTAATCCTTAGTAAGTATAAGGCTGATAAAATCAGAGCCTGAAGTGAGAACAGTCAAGCACTTCCAGCCATACAAGTGCTCCTGTTTGCTCAAAAATAAGAAAGCAAGTCAGACAAGTCTCCTTCAAGTCAAGCTAATGACTTAATGGACACATCCATGCAGGATTATTTTTGGCAATGGTATGGAAGTGCCTTCTGGGATATTTTTTTCAACATTCCCATGTAGCTTAAAGCCCTAGTATTTCCTAATATTATCCCACCCCTAAGTCCTGACCCTCCTTGGGTTCTGACCCCAGACTATATCAGCCAAGCACTGCCATGTGCTAATGCAACGCTGTCTCTTAAATTCAACATCAGCACTCCCATAATTAGTAGGTGTGATCCAGTGAAAATTAGTTCCATCCAAATCTCCCTGACATCGATCAGTGGAGCTAAAGTACTTCATTAAATGTTTAAGTTAGCCGCATCTGACCCAGGACTTAAAACAATCTAATTTGTATTGTAGAGCACTCACTCTACAGTAATGGACAATATGTAATGCCAAATAACAAACAATCACTTTGAATAATAACTGTGTCTTATTAAATCAACATCCAAGGAAAGGAAAGAATATTTTCCAGCATGAGCAGAAGAACAACCAAATGATAATTTAGAGTTTGTATGGGATATGTTGGCCTCAGTTGATCATATTCTTTTAAATTTGTTTGAGTGGTACACAGCCAGTCTTTCTTTAGGAAAAGATTTTTTTTACCACTTTTGATGAGATTGCTTACAACTGATTTTACGTGGGGTTTGTTTCTTTAACAAAGGCTGAGAAAATGCACGCACACATTCACCAGTTGTTTGAATAATGTAGAGTGTATGAGTGTGAGTGTATACATGCAAAACACCAGTGCCATGTAATCCAAACTTCAGTCCCCAATTTGTAGTCCAGGCTTGTAATCTGTTTGCTTGAATGTTTCTCATTCTCTACTTTTTAATTTCCTTTTAGTTTGATTCCTGTGGTTATATTCTGCCTTTGTTTTAGCCATGATTTCAATCTGAAGTCAAGCAGCTGAATCTGGGATCAAGTCATTGTCTGGCAGGTTCACTGCCATTACGATGACATTCACCACTGAACATCTCACATAGACAAGGGAGGAAAACATTGATTCTTTTGAAGCTCATTTGCCATTGCCGAAGGAGAAGAGTGGTTACAAAGCTGCTATCTATGATGTCTAGATCTGCCTCTAGGAGATGAAATATGATGTGATATTTGGCCTCAGATCTAGGGGATTACACTTGTGCATTTTAAACTCTGAGCTCACTAGGACTCTTTTTTATTATTTTATTTTGTTTTATTAAGAACCCCATTGGTCTTGTAAGAAACAGTAAAAAGACCCTTTGTTTAAAGAAGCATTCTACTTTCTGTTTTACAGACTGTTTTAAATAAGTTTTTTTTAAATTCCATGTTCTTTTATAATGGAAACATTAATATCTTGTTCTCCGTATAAAATTCTTTCAATGCTACCACTTCTCTATAATATGGCTCATGTAGTCCTCTGTAGGCAACCGTCCTTGTTCTTCGGTCTCTTCCCTGGGAAGTGCTTCATTCGATCGGTGAAGAAGCCTTTCTTCCCGATTCTTTATTCTCTGCTCCATCCTCTCCAGCTGCCTCTTGTACTGATATCGCTGTTGGAAGAGGTCTTTTGCATAGTCGTACAGCTGCATGTCCAAGTCATTAAGTTCTTCAATCCTCCGTATGGTCTTGCTGTCCACCTCCACTCCACCTGCTCTTGTGCTATTATACTGCATGAATGGCCTGATGAATTTTAGATTGAAAGTTCTCTCAAACAAATACTGTGTTTTTCTCTGGAATTCCGTCAAGCCAAAAAAGGCCATGTCTCTGAGATTTTTCTTGGCACTTTCCAGCAGTATCTGTGCTCGCTTGTTTTCTGGTATGAAAGACATATTATAGCAGCCTACCAAGCTCAGATCAGCCAACATCCTCACTTGGCGATTGTTAGCTAAGTTATATGGGCAATCCATGAACTCCTGAAGAGTACAGCCTGACCAGTCTGTGCCTTCATAGCATGATGGCAGCTCTTCAGGGGTTGGCGTCCGGCCATCACACATATGCAAGGATGTTTTCCAGGTAGCTCCTCGTTGGACATGCCTCCATTCACTGAGGTAACGGGACACAGGATCCCTCAGCAGAGTGATGTAATAAAACTTCCTGTAAGAGAGAAGAAATGCATATAAGAATTACAGATTCTGTGCATAATTATCTAGTGACAGTTAATAGTATTATTTGTTTCTTATTAATTTTTAGGATTACATTATCTGAATCATATATATTCCTTTTCCACCAGGCTCCACAGTACTACTTTCCAGCACTGACAGTATAATTCAGTAGAACTCAAAAGATTTGTGATCCTTCAACAGTTCTTTTGGCTTTAAGAATCAACTGACATTTCATATTAACATACACATGACATGTATATGGTAATAAGTAAGAGGGACAGGAAGTAGAAAGATACAGAGGGAGAAACATATAATACTCTATTCTGGTGGTACTTCCCGTTCAAAAATTGGTTGTCATGAAAAGGAACATTGGACAAGCAATAATGGGCTTTTGGCCAATACATGACAGAATAATGATCAAAACTGCAGCCAAACCCTTCAATATAATAAAACTACATATTTATGTACTTTAGGAGACTACTCAGGCTGAGAACTATAAGAATTTTATGAAACAATATACAACAAGCCTTTTCTTCAGTAAAGTCTATAGATATCCTAATTGTTATGGGAGACCTCAATGCAAATGCCACAAATCCCAAGGTAATCGTAATCTTGGGGAAGGAAGACCCTTCCCAACTACAAACTGTCAGTGTTGTCCCTCTTCAGCAAGACCAAAACTTTGTCTATCTTGGACACTTAATTATGGCAAATGGAAAACTGGTGAAATATCAAGAGGTGAACAGAAATTGCCAGGAAAACTTTTTAAGAACTGAATAATATTTTGAACTCAAGGAGAATGGATTTAAAATAAGAATGACCAAATACTGTGCTTGGTCGGCTCTATTTTATGACGTGAAACATGGATAGTATCCAAGAAGGGTGAGAACAGACTGAAAGCCTTTGAAATGGGGCCTTTAAGGAGAACGTTGAAATTTTTTTTAAGTCATAAAAGATCAGATCTTGTAGTCCTAGAGATGGCACAGAGAAAAGAAACCTCACAAAGACCATAAAACAGAGGAAAACGTGTTGTTTGGATCATATATTTAGATACAGTTCTATACAAAGAACCCCACAAGAAGAAACAGTGGAAGGAAAAAGAAGCTGGGGACAACAAAGAGACAGTTGGAGTAGCAATACACATAACTGAACTCTATATTATGAAGAATGTGCATGAGTGGCACAGAAGTGGACACAGTAGAGTCAGAGTTGACAACTTCCTGGAAGGAGAAGAACTTGAACCGAACTGAACACGTTAAATTGTGCAGGACTGCCCAATACATATAGCTTAGATAACTTGTCCTCCACACACACAAAGCCCAAGAAAGTTGCAAAACCATAGATGGCTGAACTCTAACCTAGCTTTTAATCAACTAAAATTCTTGGAACTTCCTGTTCTCATTGTAATCTTAATAGATTAATTTATAGCATGCACAATATCAGAAATGCATAATATTGCAGATAAGCAAAATGAATTATTCACTTAGCTGACTTTGGTAAAGAAATAATACATTTTCTAAAATGCACAGAATGTTCTGGATTATTAATTAATTGATTTAGTGTGTTTGCAAACTATCCCACAATAACAGTCACAACAGATTAAAACAAAACTTTATATACATATCAGGAACCAGAGCCAGCGTGGTGTAGTGGTTAAGGTGCTGGGCTAGGAGTAGGGAGACCCGGATTCTGGTTCTCCCTTAGGCACAGAAGCCAGATGGGTGGGCCAGTCACACTCTCTCAACTCTAGACTGGGAAGTTGAAAAAACATCCCAGGAGAAGGAAATGGCAAACCACTTCTGCAGCGTTGCCAAGAAAGCTACATAAATAATATAAATATGATAAATAAAATAAAATAAATAAAATAAAATAAAATAAAATAAATCTGTCCATATATATTGCCTTCAAATCAGTGTTGACTCCTAGTGATTGCCTGGATGAGTCCCTGCAATTTCTTGGCAAGGTTTTTTGGAAGTGGTTTGCCATTGCCTGCTTCCTGGGGCTGAGAGAGAATGACAGTTGGCTTTGTGCCTAAGGCAGGACTAGAATTCACAATCTCCCGGTTTCTAGCCTGGTGTCTTAACCACTACACCAAAGTGGCTCTCCATGAAGTTATCGGGACTCACAATTGACTCAAAGACCCTGCCCCCAATCCCAAACATGCCAAGATATACTGTCCATAATTTATCAACTAGGGCGCAAAGCATGCTGGAATTAAAAAACAAAACAAAAACTGATTTACACAGTGCAAAGAGGGTGAGTGCTACACATACCTCTGGAGGAAGTATGTTCCAGAGAATGGAGATCACTGCATAGGTGGCCTGCCATCTAACTAAAGTCCCATGGAATTTCAGTCACAGGGGAACTCTGAGCAGGTTCCCTCACAGTATTTGGACTGGATAGGCAGAATTGATTTTGGTAAGGTGGGGCCTGATAATCAGGCGCTATGCCACATATGGCTTTTTAATCACACCCTCTTTGAATTGAGCTCAGAAGCTTATTGGAGCAACTGCAGTGACCTCAAAATCTGTGTAATCCTGCAACGCCAGGATTGCTGTGCCAGTCATCTGGTTGCTGCATTTTGAGCCATCTGCTGCTTCCAAGCCAATCCTAACGGCTGCCTCACACAGACTGCAGTAACCCAGCTATGCAGTAAAAAGAATGAATCTTGTATCTGGACTAGGTAAGGTACGCCAGCCCCCCTGGCCACACCAACCCATCTCCCACTCAAGCCATAGCCTCCACTTGCTGTTTAAGCAGGAGTTGTGAATTCAGGAGGACCCCCAAGTCATAAACCAACTTCTCTGGGGGACCACAACCCTGCCTAGAGTAATTGCCAGGACTGATGATTCTGGATTGCCAGAGTGTTTATTGTCAAAAACAAACCTGGTCTTGGCTGGATTTAATATAAATGTGTTCACCTCACTCAGGTCTTGATGAACTCCAGATACCAGTTCAAGTTTTCCATACCATCTCTGTCTTGGCTCAAGGTGATAATGTCATCAACACACCGATGACCCTGAACCAACAGATGATCTCAGAGCCAGTCCTGCTTCTTCTGAGACACCGTCTTGAGGGTACTATTGCCATTTGACTCTAAAGAATGGGCATCATACTGTTCTAAAGATCTTCCCACCTAGTGGTCCAACCCACACAGCCCAGGAAAAGATCAGCACCTACAGAAAAAGGTCACTGGTCCTTTAGAACCAGCAAAAAATTTGAGGTGGATGGAGCTTCTTAGAGACTATCCTGGTCTGGCTATAAGTCTCTGACAATTGCTTGTAATTTGTCTGCTTTCCACCTGCAAAATCATGTTCTAATGTCCTGAATCCAATGTTTTTTTGTCTGGTATTTGTAGCATAGATTGAAATGTTTCCAACTTTCTTTGCTCTGGTCCTGCTTTAATAGGTTTCCTTTTCTGTGGCATGCAATAATGATGATGTAATTTTAAATGATTATGTTCAGAAGCTCATAATGAGAGCTCTTACAGCTGCTTACCCAAGGGTATTCCATATTCATGCTCCAGTGGATCTACTATAAATACACACATGTACTTGCTTTCCTATTATTATATTTAAAGAGAATAACAACCAGCATTTTTTTTTAAAAAAACAATCTTTATAAAACTCCATCCAAGAAAAACAAACCACTAATGCCTATATAAGGCACAATTGCTATTCTATGCATAATTACTTTGAAGGAAACAAAATGAAATAGGGGAATCACTTCTCCCTCACCTCCCTCCACTTCTGCTCATAGAAACCTTTACTGGTTCAAAGACCTTTCTGTCAACAGATACATAAGTGGACAGAAACTATAGGTACTAATAGTATTTGTGTATGGTACATAGATATTGACAATGCCAATGCTTTTATGTGAATTATAACATGTCAGTGCTAGGTCTACATGAATTTGGAAAGTAAACATTTTGTTCTGAGACCTGTATGTCAAACTTCTAAAAGGTTTCCTGAACAATTTTATTAATTTGTATCCTTTCCTTGCATTTTTACAGATAAATGGTACTGAGATAAGAAGGGAAAATTTTAGAGAGAATCTGCCAAATCCAAAGGTCAGAAGAGAAGGAAGAGTGGCATTTTGTTGTTTTCTCCCTCCTTTTTTAGGTAGTGTTTCCCCCCTTCAATTTCTCTCCCATTTCTTGCAGTGAGCAGGAATTAATGTTAACGGGGTTACAGATTTCCTGATTATATTTTTTCTTCCCCCTGGTTTTTTTTATTGTTGTGATTCTTAAACTTGAATTTCATACCATTTTATTAATTCATACATTGTGTACTTTCCTTTTGTTAGTGTATGATAATGACATTAATAAAAAAAGGCTTCAGCAAAGATTAATAATAAAACTGTCAGGTTGTGTCATGTTATCACAAACTTTTCACTACAGAGATTTCATAGTCCACTTTGTCATATGAGATCAAATCATGTTTACAACCCTGGGTGACCAGTTTTAAAAACAAAACTCGTAAGATTTAATTAATTAAATCAATTATTCAATCCTGACTATTAAACAAAATATCCATTTTGTTTCAAAAGGTATCAACTTCCACTGGCCAGCAGGCTGAATTGGAAATAATTCTCACATTCTCATCTTGTATTATTTCACCCATGAGCTGGATCGCAGCTCCCACTGAAGTCCCTGAGAGAATTTTCATTTCATTTCATGGGCCTGGGATGAGGTCCAATGCACGTGCTCAGGGATGTCCACATGATATGGTAAAGAAAGTTAAAATGGCAACCATTACGGTGCAGGCAAAACTCTGCCTGTTTGTTATGTGTGTCAGATGTGATGACATAAAAGAGTTTTAATGCATCATCTCAGCTGCTATCTTGAATTTTGAGTTTCCCCTGTGGACACCCCTGTGCATGCCTGCTACCTTCTGGCTTTGTAAGCTACATACACAAAGAGGAACGTGTCTTATCAGACTCTCATCAATCCAAAGATGTCACCCTATCTAAAAGGACACATTTACAGAAAAAGGT